TGTTCATTTGATTACAAGAAACTGAAAATTTTAAATGAAAATCGTTTTCCTACATAACATAATTAAGTAGCCAAAAAACTCGAATCTCTTTACAGAATTTAAATTGGGCTATCCTAAGTAATTGATATTTTGTCTTTCTTTTTGGCCTAAAATAAGCCGAAATTACTTTGACTCATAGGAAAAATTATATAAATTAAAAACAGTACCTTGAAGCTTATACAAATTAACCGGAAAATTAATAAACATGGCGACATGTTTTAACCTTTTGTTGCCCGAACAAAGAAAATACCAAATGTCACCACATTTTTTTCATAAATTCGTTTAAGTACATATTTTAAACCATAATAAATTTGAAAAATAAAAGAATTAACATTAGTTTTTTAAATATAGTGATGGAACTAGAGAGTACCGTCGGTTACAGCAGTATTTTTTATGGGGTACTTATTTGTACCGACGGTCTCATACGTACAATTTTTTTAACATAAAGGTATAAGAAATACTTTTTTTAAAAAATTATCATATTATCTTGAAATAAATCATCTTGGATTTGATCGAATAATAAAAATTATTCGAATTAATCATCTTAGATTTAGTCGAATAACAAAATAATTCCCATAAATTATTTGTTATTCGTTATTCGAATAAAAATTTCCCAATTCTGGTTATAATATATCATAAAAAAAAATGTATATTTTTAGAAGCATTAAACATACTAAATACATATGAACAAGTTTAAAATAACGGTTTAAGTAAAATAATGACAAAAAAAATGCATATAGTTACCTACTATGTGTGTGTTACACAATAATATATTAAAGAGTTCAACTTACATGGAGTGGACATGACGTATCTTCACGATTCTTATATCCTACTGATAAAAAGTAATTGAACGCCGGGAAGTTCTCACAGATGTTCGTGAGATCAAAGGTTCTAAGATTAGAGCAATCAATAAAATATTCTTTGCACATTATTATTTCGATATTAATCTAAAACAATAAACACAACAAACATGTTAAAACTTCATGGATTGAACTAGGTATTTGCTTGATCATTTTCTGATCTATCCAAACTGTTGTCATTAGCTAGCTAACTTTTCAATCCCACTGTAGAGTCCATCCTCAAAGACATACTGTTTAGAGTTTATAGTCAAGAACAATGTCTCTGTAGGTGTTGTGTGTACACCCTGCAATAGGTAGAAACATTAGCTAACTAATGGCAACCCAGATAGATCCGAAAATGATCAAGCTAAACGATTATAGAGCGATGAGAACCAAAATGATTAGTTTTTCATTTGACAATAATATTAATTGTCAATATAACCCATTGATATTTAGTGTTGAAAAAAATCAATGAATATCACTCGCAAGCACACATAAAAGATATTCACCAGATTTTTTTATTTTGCTCTTTTGTTAAATTGTATAAAAGCCACTTATCCCCTCCAGGTGCTCGCAATTTCATTTATTATTTATTAGGATTTTAACACTTAAAAGTATTGCAAATCAACTTCAACTTACTCGACCTAAATACAACGTATCATTAATTATATAATGGAAGTCTGTGTACTGCACGTCGTTATATTGATTATAGCTGATTTTTGCTTCTCCAAATGAACGGTTAATATTTACTTCTACGTAGCTAAAACGATGTTCATGCCGTATAGGCTGAAGTAATGTAAGGATACCCTGTATACAATAAATTGTTATTACCTATATTTTAATATTAGTTACTTACACTACAGTGATAAATGTAGTTGGACTTACCTTTGATTTAGCAAGTGCTAAAAATATAGCTATTAGACAAATTAACATTACTGTCTTGTAATACATGACGATTGTGAAACAAAACGTATTACTCAATACTCTGATGAAAGTTACAATAAATCTAATGTTGAGTAGCGCCAATGATTATGAAAAATATTTTTAAAAAAAGTAACATAGTCAACTTAAATAGTAAGGTAAATAATAACAATAACAATTTTCATCCGTTGATGACAATCAGTCACCTGGTTTTATTGTAGTTCAATTGCATTGTTTTTTATTTGACTACCGTTGTTTACATCATAAAATGTATTATTAAAATTTAACTATACAATTATAATTTAGTTACAATAAAATATCATTATTTTTTTTTTACACAACAAAGACTTACGGCAGAATGTATATTTTTTGATCGATTTTAATTTTAAAAACCACCATACTATAAAAAGTGGCTAAATCTATCTTTGATCAAAATTTGATTAAAAATCCCAAACGAATTACACAATCGAATCTAAGAATAGATTTCCTTACATTTATTTATTTATTTTCTTTATCTTACAAAATTGTTTGATGATTGACAATGATTAGTTTAATTATTATTTACATACATATCTCTTCGTATGTATGTTTATATGCGATGCCTAAACGTCTTTATAACACATTGTGATAAGAAGGGATAGGAGAAGAGATTAGTGATAAGGGAAAATCGATAATCTCTGGTAAAGCAAAACAAAAAAATTAATTTTATTTAGGTTTTATAGATTTGTAAATGTGCTACTACTATTTATTTCATTTTTATGTGATAAATATTATGAAAACAAATAATATGCGTGTGTGGACGCAAGTAGATTTTTAATATCTCGATTTTCTATTTCTAAATGTCAAAAAATAAAAATGAAAGTGAGTATCCGATACTTTGACGTTAAAATTATTGTAATAAATGACGTTCAACTTAAAAGTGTACTCCCACCATTTTTCTGTCGGTCCGAGAAACATTGGAACTGTTTTATCCGGGTGAACTGTTACATTCTTGAAAATGTATTCTCCCTGTGGAAATATTACAAATACAGAGCGATCAGAGTTTTATTTTAAAGACATTTTTTCTTTGGTATTATTATTATTATCTAAGGCACAAAAGTGTCATATGAAATCGTCATTATGTATTTATTTTTCTTCAATTGTTATAATTAATATCCACAACAAACCTCTTCATCGATATATACCAATTTCTAGGATATACCGGGTGATTCATTTTAATTAAGAATATTTTACTGAAAAATTGACTGGTCGATAACCAGTTTCGAATAAGTTTTTACAAAGTTATTTAAGTTTTAAATTTAGGACGTGAGAAAGGGTGGAGAGTAGAGTTATTTATATTTCCGTGCATTTCACAACCCAACTCCAACCCCCCGAATTTTAAATCTGAACAACTTTAAAAATAACCATGCAAAACTGGCTATCGACCAGTCAAGTTTTAGTAAATTATTTTTAATTTAAAAAGCTTGTAAAATTTATATTTTACAGTAACTTGTGTACGTGTTATTGCATGTTATGCAATAATATTTTAACAAAAATCAATAAAATAATATTCATAAATCATAAGACATTGCATATCTGTCTAGAAAATGACTACCAATAAAGTATTTTTAAATCATTTAAATTACTGTGCTGTCTGCTTTATCAACACTATGCACGCTGACGTTAATTACTAGAAGGAAACAGATAGACTTGTTTGATTTTTAAATAATTTTATCTACTGTCACTATTTATCTACCTATCTAATATTAAAAAACAACATGAGCAATTATGTTTTTCACACAATGGTGAGACCAATAAAGAAAAAAATACATGATTTAAATGTTTAGTATTAATCTCTTAAAAACATATACCCTCCTAATTTAAAATGTTGAACTATTTCATGACACAATATTAGCGACATGTATACCTACAATGTCAAATTTTAAGTTATATTTTATCCTATAAAAATGTGTTTAAAAAAGCATTAAAAATACTTAATACACACAAACAAGTGCAAAATAATGACTTAAGTAATGTGATGACAAAAAAAATGTCATATACTCGTAGTTACTTACTATGTGTGTATTATACAATAATATAGTAAAGAGTTCAACTAACTTGGAGTGGACATGACAAAACTTCACGATTCTTATATCCTATAGTTAAAAAGTAACTGACCACCGGGAAGTTTTCACAGATATTCGTGAGATCAAACGTTCTAAGGTTAGAGCAATCAATAAAATATTCTTTGCACATTATTATTTCGATATTAATCTAAAACGATAAACACAACAAACATGTTAAAACTTTATGGATTGAACATATTCGCTTAATCACATTCTGATCTTTAATATTATTTTTGTCATTAGTTAGCTAACTTTTCAATCACACTATAGAGCCCATCTTCAAAGATATATTGTATAATATAGTCAATGACAATATCCGTTTCGGCGATAAATAAAAAAAACAAATTAATATATACTTTGATATAAAGTCAATGTATCAAATATTCTAGTTGAGTCGGTCAAGTGTTACCAGTTTAAATTAAGGAAATTAATGTTCCTACTCGTCGTGCCTTTATCGGTTGAAACATTTTTGTTGGCCGATAGTGGGCCTAATTATGATAGGTTTATTATATTTGATCGTCTTCTCGGCCTTAGTTTTTAAAAGATTCGACAGTATGGTATACGGATGAGACATTCAAAGTTGCACCTTCTCTATTTTGTCAAGCTTATGTAATATTATCCGAATTTTTAGAGGAATGCATTCTGCAATTTATGCATTGCTACCCAAAAAAAAAACGTACGAAAAATTATTTAGTATTATTAATGTATTACAACCTAATTTCCAGCCAACATCAGATGTTTGTGATTGGAACTTAGAGTAATAACAGCATTAAAAAATTCATTTAAATATGTAAATATATTCGTATGGAATTTTCATTTATGGCAAAATTTTCTTTAAAAAGAATATATTCATCAGATTTTTATTTTTGCTCTTTTGTTAAATTGTATAAAAGCCATTTATTCCCCTTCTGGTGCACGCAATTCCATTTATTAAGCATTAGGATTTTATCACTGTTAAGTATTGCAAATCAAACTCAACTTACTCGACCTAAATACAACGAATCATTAATTATATAATGGAAGTCTGTGTACTGCACGTCGTTATATTGTTTATAACTGACTTTTGCTTCTCCAAAAGAATGGTTAGTGTTCACTTCTATGTAGCTAAAACGATGTTCATGCCGTATAGGCTGAAGTAATGTAAGGATATCCTGTATACAATAAATTGTTATTACCTATATTTTAATATTAGTTACTTACACTACAGTGATAAATGTAGTTGGACTTACCTTTGATTTAGCAAGTGCTAAAAACATTAGACAAATTAACATTACTGTCTTGTAGTACATGACGATTGTGAAACGAAACGTATTACTCAATACAATGTTGTAAGTTACAATTAAACTATTTTTGAGTAGCACCAATGTTAATGGAAAATATTTTCAAAAAAGCAACACGGTCTAACTTAAATAGTAAGGTAAATAATAACATAAACAATTTTCATCCGTTGATAATAATCAGTCGTCTAGTTTAATTACCATCCAATTGTGTTTTCTTTTATTTGAGTACCGTTGATTGCACCATAAAATATATTATTACTATTTTACTATATATTCATATATAAGGTACAAAAACAATTCATTATTTTTTTTATACACAATCAAGCCTTACGCCAGGATGTAAAATTTTTTATCGTTTTTAAATTTAAATACCACCATTATATAAAAAGTGACTCAATCTATCCCTGATCAAAATTTTATTGAAAATTCCAGACAAATAGCATGTTCAAATCTAAAATCTAGATTGCCTTACATTTATTTATTTGTTTTCATTTGTTTATTTTAACATAATTGGTTGATAACTGACAACCATTAGGTTAATTATTATCTACATACATATCTCTTCGTATGTAGGGTAAAGGAAGGTATTTTCGTGGCATAAGCAATTTCGTGATATATGTAGTTTGTTGATCGTATCGCGTAATTCCATATTAGAAAATCGCTTGAAAATTACACTGATTGTTAAAATAACTGTGTTTTAACAATCAGTGTGATTTTCAAGACAATTTTCTAATAGGGAATTACGCGATACGATCAACAAACTATATCACGAAATTGCTTATGCCACGAAAATACCTTCCTTCACCCTATGTTTATACGCGATGCTTAGACCACCTACCACAAGTGAAAACATGAACAAATTTCGGGTAAACCGAAGATTTGGGTAAGGTAAGTATAAAGGGGAAAGGGGGGGTAAGAAATGAGATTAGTGATAAGGTGAAATCGATAATCTCTGTTTAGGCGGAACCACAAAATTAATTGTATTTATGTCGATAGTTTTGTAAATGTGCTACTACTATTTACTTAATTTTAATGTGTTAAATATTATGAAAACAAATAACATGCGTATGTGGACGCAAGTCGATTTTTAATATCTTGATTTTCTATTTCTAAATGTCAAAAAATAAAAATGAACGTGAGTATCCGATACTTTCAAGTTAAAATTATTGTAATAAACGATGTTCAACTTAAAAGTGTATTCCCACCATTTCTCTGTCGGTCCGAGAAACATTGGAACTGTTTTATCCGGGTGAACTGTTACATTCTTGAAAATGTATTCTCCCTGTTGAAATAATACCAATACAGAGCGATCAACGTTTTATTTTACAGACATTTTTTCTTTTGTATTATTATTTTAGCTAAAAAAATGTCATATGAAATTGTCATTATCTATTTATTTTTCTTTAATTGTTTTTATTAAACACACAAACCTCACCTTTGATATATACCGATATCGATGATATACCAGGTGATTCGTTTAAATTAAGAATATTTTACTAAAATAATTATTGACTGGTCGATAACCAATTTTAAATAATTATCTACAAAGTTATTTAAGTTTTAAAATTAGAACGGGAGAAAGGGTGGATAGTAGAGTTATTTTTATTTTCTCGCATTTCTCAACCGCGCTCTAAATACCTAATTTTAATCCCGAACACTTTAAAAATAACTATTTAAAACTGGCCATCGACCAGTCAATTTTTTTAGTAAAATGAAGACAAAAAAAATGTCATATAGTTACTTGGTATGTGTGTATTATACAATAATATATTAAAGAGTTCAACTTACATGGAGTGGACATGACGTAATTTCACGATTCTGATATCCTATCGATAAAAAGTAATTTATCGCCGGTAAGTTTTCACAGATATTCATGAGATCGAACGTTCTAAGATTAGAGCAATCAATAAAATATTCTTTGCACATTATTATTTCGATATTAACCTAAAACGATAAACACAACAAACATGTAAAAACTTTCATGGATTGAACTAGGTTTTTGCTTGATCACTTTCTGATCTATCCAAACTGTTGTCATTAGCTAGCTAACTTTTCAATCCCACTGCAGAGTCCATCTTCAAAGACATTCTGTGTAGAGTTTATAGTCAAGAACAATGTCTCTGTAGGTGTTGTGTGTACACCCTGCAATAGGTAGAAACATTAGCTAACTAATGGCAACCCAGGTAGATTCGAAAATAATCAAGCTAAACGATAAATTGATGAGAACCAAAATGATTAGTTTTTCATTTGACAATAATATTAATTGTCAATATAACCTATTGATATTTATTGTTGAATAAAACCGATGAACATCACTCGCAAGCACACATAGAAGATATTCACCAGGTTTTTTATTTTGCTCGTTTGTTAAATTGTATAAAAGCCACTTATCCCCTCCTGGTGCTCGCAATTTCATTTATTATTTATTAGGATTTTAACACTTAAAAGTATTGCAAATTAAAGTTAACTTACTCGACCTAAGTACAACGAATCATTTATTATATAATGGTAGTTTGTGTACTGGACGTCGTTATATTGGTTATAGCTGATTTTTGCTTCTCCAAAAGAACGGTTAATATTCACTTCTACGTAGCTAAAACGGTGTTCATGCCTTATAGGCTGAAGTAATGACGTAAGGATACTCTGTATACAATGAATTGTTATTACTTATATTTTAATATCAGTTACTTATACTACAGTGAAAAAAGTAGTTGGACTTACCTTTGAATTGGCAAATGCTAAAAGCATAGTTATTAGACAAATAAACATTACTGTCTTGTAGTGCATGACGACTGTGAAACGAAATGTATTACACTTAATACACTGTTGAAAAATACAATAAATCTAATTTTGAGTAGCGCTAATGAATATGAATAATATTTTTGAAAAAAGCAACACGGCCAAAATATCAGTCCGTTGATAAAAATCAGTAGTCATTCAATTGTGTTGTTTTTTATTTGACTACCGTTGTTTGCATCATAAAATGTATTATTAAAATTTAACTATACATCCATAATTCAGCTACAAAAAAAATGATTAATTTTTTTTATACACAATATAGCCTTACGCCAGGATGTATATTTTTTTAACGATTTTAATTTAAAAAACCACCATACTATAAAAATTGGCTCAATTTGTCTGTGACCAAAATTTGATTAAAAATCCCAAACAAATTACCCAATCGAATCTAATAATATAGATTGCCTCACATTTATTTAATAAAACATTAAAAAATGTTATAAAAAATTTGTACCAATTTATTATAATAAAATATGAATTGAAAATAGTAAGAAAAAAAATGAAGAGCTACAAATACTCAATACATTGATCTGAGAGATTATATTTTATACTTTCAATTTTTTTACAGTGTCTTTTGTCGAATGATGGAACATATTTTTCAATCAAAATTTTTAATTTCGCATTACATTGTTACAATGCCTGAATTGATTTAAAAAAAATTATAAACATAACAATAAATTGTCTATATTACTTATAGAATGGCTTAAAAATTGTTGTTAATTAACCGACTCGACAGCTCTTTAATATAGTTTTCAACGTGGCTATGTGTTGATTTGAACGATTACTACTAAATTTCCATAACATTACAATAGTTGCATTCCTCAAGTACGTTCAATGTTGTTGTATTACTAACATGGCAAAAGAGGTTGTTGTTAAGGCAGAAGAACGACCGACGACTACCGAGGAACCGCCTAAGAAACTGAAACCATGTTGTGCCTGTCCGGAAACGAAAAAGATTAGAGATTCGTGTATTATGGAAAACGGAGAAGAAAACTGCCAGCATTTAATCGAAGCACATAAGGAATGTATGAGAAAAATGGGCTTTAATGTATGAATCCTTCCTTATGATGTAATTACTATACTTCTAGTCTGTTTGATATACATTTACAATATGTATAATATATTATTTATTTTTACATAATATAAGTATGTAAACCTATTAACGGGAACTTCGTAAATAGAAAAATGAGCTAACTTTTTACCCAAAAATGTTTGCTAAGTTAATTCTTAAATGTCATATAATTAATTTAGATGCACTGTTCAATATTGTTTATTATTGGACTGAAAAAACAAAATATTCCAATCATAAACCCATTTTGAATCAATATCATTTTTAATAGTCTTATTGTAAAATGTAAAATTTTTACTTCTGGCCAATATTTGTTGATATTCGACGGGAACTTTGGACAATTAATGATATTATTTAAGAAGATGCCTCCTTTTTAATTTTATTACTTGTCAATTATATCGTACATCGTATTTTTTTTTTTGTATAATAATAATATATTAAATAAGAAAATTAAAAAAAATAGAGCCGGTGACGTTCTGATTTCTATCTTCGTAAACATGTGGCCGCTATCAAAAATGTGTACAACCATGGCCTTGGAAGATCTTTGTTGTGCAAGTCTTAGATTTTATCATTCAAACTGCTTCATATATTTTCTAAGTTTGTTATTTTTTCTCCTAGAGAGCAGCACCTTATATTAATTTAGTGTACTTTCATTTTTAGATGCAGTTGTCAGTCAACGGATATCAAAAGTATATATTTTCATAATTCATTATACTCATTATTTATAAGTTATAACGGCAACTGATTGTAACAGCCAATTGATTAATGTAGCCAAACGATCAATCCCAATACTTAGAATACAATTTTAAGCGCGTTATTGTCTTAATAATGAGTTGGCTTCTATTTAAATAAAAACTAAAATAATACATACAATATCGTTTAGATTTAAATAATAGACATGTATAATATGTAAAGAAAAAAGAAACAAACAGACATTCATTTAGTATTTATATATTTTTTTCTTGATTCAAAATAAACTTGACAAATAATACAATTTTAAAAAACCGTTAGGTATATTGAAAATATGTATTTTTAGTATAACAATTTTTTATTATTATTTTTGTTTGGGTGTTTAAAAATGGTATACGGATTAATACCTATTTACACATTATAAAAAATAATATTATGAGTACTTAATATTTAAATTACCTAATATAAATAAAAGATCACAACGTATTTCCTTTTTGACATTGTCACTAACAAATTATTTAAATACATCTTCAATTTTATTTCTAAATAATGTTTAGTGCGAATAAAGTTGGATTTAATAGTTAAAATAATATAATTTAATTAAAATACCTACTATAGAATAACGTCATTGCTGTCACACTATCTCAGAACTCCCAATATCTAACTCTCTGTCTTTAATTTTCAACAAAGAACACAAGTTTAGTTTTAATAATTTAGAAGTTTCAATAAATGGATTTACAACTGGTTTAGAATTATTAACATTTTCCTTGGTCAATTCAACTTTCAACTTTGCCAGAATTATATCTTCTTTTTCCAAGTCTTTGTATCATCTTCGTTGTTGTAATATTTTATAGGTAGGTGGTAAAGCAAACGGAAGTGTACTTAAAGTTGCTCGCCAAAATCAAACATGCCTATCTAATAACTTTATTTGTATTATAAGACTGCATAATGATCAGTTGGTAAATTTGTTTTTGGATTTCTCCTAAGTTCCTTTAAGAACAAAAATTAATTTGAAAAAAGTAAGAGTTCATAAATAAAAACATCTCATTGTAAAAAGCTAAAATTATATTTGTTTAAAATTAGTACTTTTATTATAAAATAACACAGGTAATTTCTGAAACAGTAAAATAAAAATGAATTTTGCGATTGCTAATTACTCATTAGGTTTAAATTATTATTTGCCGTTTGTTAATAATAATTTAGAAATTGTATCTTTTAAGATAAGTTGTTGATAAAATCTCTGTCGGGCTACGAATAGTATGTTAGTAGATAAATAAAATGCTGTTTATTTTTTCTTTAATAATTAAGTACATTATTTGTCGAGTTATTCATTGTTTATTAAGTTACTCAAATTTTGCCAAACATTTTTATACACAAGAAAAATAATATTTTAAAAAAAATCAACATGGAATTACTTAAATAAGGTAAATAATAACAGTAACGATTTTCATCCGTTGATAAAAATCAGTCGTCTGGTTTAATGTAGTTTAATTGTGTTGTTTTTTATTTTACTACCGTTGTTTGCATCATAAAATGTATATTATTAAAATTTAACTATACATTCATAATTGAGCTACAAAAAAAAAAAAAAAAAATTATACATTTTTTTTTGTATACAATATGGCCTTACGCCAGGATGTATATTTTTTTTAATTTTAAAAACCACCATAATATAAAAAGCGGCTCAATCTGTCTCTGATCAAAATTTGATAAAAAAATTCCATATAAATGACATAATCCAGTCTAATAATATAGAATTTTTTGTGCCTATTTATATATACTATATATCATGGCTAGACATTTTTTAGTACTAATCATCGACCCGCTGAGCCGTACGATAGTTAAACAAACAGCGGGTGAAATTGCTTCTGTTTTTGTGCATATTTCAGTCACGACCTTAATATTAATTTTCTACTACAATAATAATTAGACACTATCTTCCATACTTGTTACTGAACTGAGCTACCGCATTTAAGATATATTTTTTATAGGTGTGGCACGTACAGAAAATATAAATAGTTGTAATTAATCACGTACAATGTTTTAATTAAATTATCTACTATATATAGATACCTTTTTAATAGTATATATACATAATGATTTTTAAAGTCTTAGGCAAAATATTTTTTTTTCTAAGTCGGACAATCATTTTACATTTGTTTTGTTAAAAGTATATACAAATAAAAATATTTTCAGTTCATGTGATTTTAACACGTATGGGAATTGGGATTATAATGTTTTAAAATTTGAGCTAACTAATAACTAACATTTCTTTTTTATAAATCTAATAACTTTTAAGTTACTGACTGTCTCATATAGCGTTAACCAAACGCTTTGTATTTCTAATTCTTACTGTTAATTGATTTATGATACTTTCTGTTAATTCTTTACTACAATGTCTTGTATTGTTTTTAATTTTTTAATTTCAAAAGGGTTGTATGTAGTCCCCAGCTGTGGCCTGTTTCATCACAGTATTAGTTACTAAAAACGTGATCCACGGGTCTTTGTAATAACAATCAAAAACAAGTGCTAACACAACAATACAATTTTGTTGGATGGAACTCCATTGATTTCTAAAACCATTTCTCCAATAAGAGTTGATGTAGTTTTTTTCCTTCATATTTTCTCATATGTGCCATTTAAATACATCATCGTGAGAAAATAGTCTGAAGGCAACACATTTTTTAAATAGACAACTAAAAAAATTCATAATTTTTTACTAGTTACTTATTACTAATTAACATTAATAATATCTGTATAGTTATTTCTAGGCCACTTTGCATTTAGCTCGTTGTATGATATCCAATTAAAAGTATAAACAAATATTTTTAATAGTATTGTAAGTAGGTAAATGAGTAGGTTTAAATAAATGGTGTAATTTATATTTTATAACGAGTTTAAATTTAAATTTAACATTCGACATCAGGTTCTACTAAATAAAAATATAGTATCGCAGCCATTATGCTTTAAGTTATGCCAATTAAAACAAGTATTTACTAGTTATTTAATAGACCACCTACTAGTTAAAATGTTTTAAAGCAACATATTCTTATAATACGCTTTATCACTTTTTTTTTTTAGATAAATAAAATTACTAGAATAATACCTAATTCTGGTTATAACATACCTGCTTCGTTTGTTATTTAGGTTAACATTTGAATTGAGGGGTTAAGTTCCAGTAAAGTGACCCATAAACCATAAGCAGTTAAATCAGAATATTTAATTAAGTTTTCACTAAAATTATAATTATAAATTTTTAATTAAAAAAAAAAAATCCATACTAGGTAATTATTAATTAGCAATTTAAATATTTATTTTTAGACAGATTACAGATAGATACCTAAATGTTGGTAATTAGCGTGGTCGTTTTTACTTGTGTAGGTTTTTGGAGAATATTTGTAATATGATATTTTCCAAATCAGTTCTAAATGTGTAAAAAAATTTTTTTTTTATTTGAAATATTTATTTAAAGTAGTTTATTGGTTTTAACTGTACTGGCCAGAGGTATCCATTTGTTTTAAAACACACTCGTTTATTATTCTTTCAGATAAATATCTCGGTGAGAGAATTTTGCAGCCAATAGCTAAAAAAGTAAAATAGTTAAGTGCAATAAATACGTGGTGCTTATAGCGCAAATGAGTATAAATTAATTTAAAAAAATAAAATCTTAAAAATATTCACTAGAACAAAAATTAATTCATTTGTCGAATCATTGTGGAACACCCTGTAATAATAACAGACTAAATATACTTTAATCTATGATAATAATAATATTTATTTATAATAATAGGTTTATTTAGTCATGATTGATTTCAGAACTTTTAATACGATATTTATATTAATTTTATTTTTCTAACTTTTTTTACAGGTATAATAGACTACATACCCAACGGATATGTAATGAGAATAATCATTTTCGTTTTGACATGTCACACGAGTTTAAGTATGTAGCGGATCATACAGCTACATACATTTAAAAAAAAACCCACGTCGAAATGGGAAATATTTATTTCATATTTTATAAGTATTTAATAATTTTTTCAACTTACAACTTTGACAACCTAAACAATTATCGTAAACCATTTCTTCTAGAAGGGGTGGAATTCTTGAAGCTATGCTTCTTATGGGACGCCTGTGCGCTGGGGGTCAACGAAAAAAAACCGTAATGTAACTTTTTTTTCCTTTCTTTTGCTTTTTCATGCAAAGTTTTAGTGGTTTATGTATGAAAATTAGGCCCAAATGCAGATATGGAATGAGGCTATATCATATTACAATTTCCTCAAAAATCTGTAGTCAAACAATTTTTTTTAAGGAAAAACCAAAAATAGGGTAAAATTACAATTCGACCGTAGTCAATTTTTAAATTGCTATGTGTGGTTTATACATATTATCCACAGATTCGAAGCGTTTATTTTAAAGTAATTTTATCACTTTTAGTTATAATAATTTCTGTAAACCTGTAACATCTCCATCCCCACTATGCCCCGACCTCACTGTACTAGCTTTTATTAATATTATTGTAATTTTTATTTTTGTTTTGGCGACTGATAATCGACGCAATGCTAGTTTTGATCAAGTTTAATCAATTCTACTAAACCAAACGGGGGACGGGGGGGTTATATTCAACCAAATTTACTGTAGGTATACCTATAGATATTTTACTTTTTAGAGCTAGTCGCGCCAATGAACAACAGCTAAAGTCTAAAGTTCTTTAAAATAATTATGTATGGCCATAGGAGAACTCTAGTAAGCGCATCTATACATAAAATGCGCATACTGGTTTTCCATTTCACGAGTACACCAATATAGGCCGAAAAATTATTATTAAAGTGTATCATATAATAAATAATAGAATAAAACAATACGACGGCTTCGAGTGATCGTATTTCTACGATAGGATGCCAGTGTTGTAATTAAAAACAAAATCTCAGTACAATACGATTTCTTTTAATAATAATTGTACCCACGTTTGTTTGTTGTGTGATTGCGGGTGGTAATAATATAAGTAACACGCGAGATACAAAAAAGAAAAAAAACAGTATACACAACAAAAAAAAACCTACTAATTTAATATCGGAGTGTATAAAAACAATGTTTCCCAAAAAAAATCTACTTGATTTAATTTATTCCCCGGACGCGTATCCCGTGTAGGAAATAATAACAATAATAACGACGTTGTGAAAGGAGAGAAGGGGGGGGGGAGGACCTTAGACGGTCGGCGGCGAGGGTGAGGTTGATGGATCTGTTCCATAAAGTGATGTTGTATCGCAACGCCGTCGACAGTGTTCACACGGCGTTGGCGGTCGTCGTCCGGTGCCAGAGTTCTTGTCGTCCCCACCTGTCGTCCGCGCGCGCGCGTGTGTCCCGTCTTGGCGGTGCGATAACAGATCCGTGATAAGCGATAACAGCTGATAACAGCAAGGCGACAAGACGGCCGCCGTCAAGACGTACAACAACGACCGAGACGATTGCGGCTGGCCCTACGATGTGATCCGGCCGAGTGCGATTATGCCAAGGAACATCAAACGATGGCTGACGGCGTTCCAGATACTGCTGGCCCTGTTGGTACTCACGTCTCTGGTGTTCTATCAACAGGTCGGCGGACTGATCGGTGGCAACGTTACGGTCCCCAGCCAGCAGCAGCAACAGCAACAGGTAGGATTTTTGAAAAAAAAAAAAACATTACCAAAAACCGCAGGCCTCCATGGTGTGTTAAGAGCGTCTTCTACATCGTTTAAGTTTATAACGTCCATTCGAAAAATACACGGCAACAAAACGACCGACGTCGTCATTATCGTCGTGATTCTAACTCTTTCCGCGGTAGTAGTGGACGGTCAGCGGTCTTAGGCATCACTTAACCATAGTTATTGAATTACATTTGATTTATTATTATTAGCTAAGTACCTAAGTGGTTAATACTAATAATAAGCAAACAATGTTACGTTGCTATCGGATCGTTTGAACCGAGATACGCCATTTTTCTTTTGCATTTTTTTATCACATTCGACAAGATTTTGTCCCCATTTAAAACTGATATCAATATCATGTCGAAAGCAATTACAATTCAATAATGGGGATGCTGATTTTAACATAACTGATTATATTAATATAATATTTAAATTTCCGTAGACGTTCAAAGGATTATTGAATGAGTTGGACACGTCCGATTTGGAGAAACCGTCTGACGACACTTTGTTGCTGGACTTGGACGATAGCGTACTGCAAAATACATTTATTACAGTGAAAACGACCGGAAGAAATCATTTGACTCGCTTGCCAGTCATTATAAAAACATGGTTCCAGGTCGCCAAAGATCAGGTATTTACCAAATTATTGTTACAATCATACAAAAACAAGTACAAATTTTAACGGTACCAGAAGTATAAAGTAGATTAACAATTGTACAGTGTATACTGTACACAACCTTGATGTATCTATGAAAATAATAAAATAAAAAAATTATAAGTAGGTATTAACTAAATGATTAATGTATGAAAATTCATTAAATAACTAATACGTATATTAAAAATATAGTTTCCATAAATAAAGAAGACTATTTAAAAAAAAAAAATTATTTTTAACAAATAATAATGAATAATCATTGGTAAATAAATCAAATTTGTTTTGGAATATTTTAAGCAACTGATATTTTTTATGAAACAGAATACCTAAATAAAACAATTATTTCCTAAAGTAAAATGATATAATAAGTGGATGGTTAACAATATTAAATTAGATATGACCTATGCGTATATCATTTTTTTTTTTGTTAGAATAAGATATAGACCTGTTTAATTGAAAACAATATATAGAAATGTCAAAAGAACAAGTTTCAGTTACTAGTTTAGAATTTTAAATCACTTTAAATTAAAAAAAATTCTATGTAAACCTTCAGATTGTTTATATGAGTGCCATGAAAATTGTATTTAATTTTAATTTTATGTGAACTATAATGAGTAAACATACAAACTTAATGGAATGTTTTTGTTTTATAGATCCTATATAAACCAGTTATTTTTCACATCTATAATGACTAAAATATATGTGATACTTTAATAATTATAAATTAATGTAAAAATTAACGACCGCCATTAAACGTCGATTAAAATGTTGACTCATTATTTATTTAATGTAATGAAAAAACCAAAGAAGGTTTAAGATTTTGTATTTGAACGTTAAAGTTTTAAAAAATGGTGAAGTTAATTTAAATATATACCACTAATTACACAAAATTAGGGTAGGTTATCTAGTACAAATAAATTTCTCAAGCTCAGGTTTGCTCAATTTATCAAAACTTAGCGGTTTGAAGGATGATCACAATCATCATAGCAAACAATTTTTTTTTTTTGACAGTAAATCTTAAGCTACTATTTAATGTATTATTTTAAGAATTTTTAAATAATGTTCGATAAAGAATAAGGTATTAAATATAAAAAAATATTTAGCTTTGACTATTTAGTAGCTAACAAAACCATTTCTAGTTATAACATTTTTAAAAAAATACAGACTAAAAAACATTTTAAAATGTTTACTTTCTATAAAAAGGAAACAAGTAAAGTAATTTCATTGCATTTAAAAAGTAGTTTGCCCAAGAATGCTAATTAATGTTTAATTAAATCAATATATATTTTTTGGTTTATGAAAGAGGCTTTATAAAATTTGTTACAAATTGTTTTCTAATAATATATGTGTTATTAAGTATAGAATGGAGCTGTGTTTTTTTTTATAAAGATTAAAATATTTAAGGAAGTAGTTTGGACTGTTCAGTAAATATTTGATATTGTGAGGTTTTGACTTTTGCATAATTAAAGGTTAAATCTAAAATTTATTTTTGTATTTCTGTTGTTTACTTTTATGTAAATTTCGAGAGATTCAATATAATTGCTTTACATGTTTTGATTAAAGTAAACCAACGGTATTCGACTTAAAATCACGTTTGAAAAATTAATACCTTGGAAGCTAAAAATAGGTTTAATAATGTAAATACATATTTTAAGTCTTCATTTGATGAAGATTTGATCATAACATAAAACTGAAATGGCAAAACCGGTTACTACTACCTGTATAAAATAATTTCAAAAAAATCTCTTGGCCAGTATAATATTGAAAAAACGAGCTATTTCAATATTATACTTAGCTAATTGTATTTGACCTTAAAAAAATAGTGTAATGCAATGCATACTTGGAGTATACACTAGATAATTAAAAACTGGTAATTTGTCTACAAAAAAAAATATTTACTTTGTAATATATTATTATACTTAAAATAAAAATATTAAGCTATACTCGGAGCATGACATTTACAACTAACTTTACACGTAACTTAAATGTTTCTCAATTGTATTGGTATTTATTATTGTAGTAGGAGCGAGGAAAAATAGTATTATTATGAAACTAAGCAATATATCTAGGCCAAATGGAAAACGGTTAATATGTTTATACAGCGAAAATTATATTTATTTCTATTATTTAAAGCCACACTAATTGTGATGTCAGCAGGCACTCTCGTTTTGTGTACCTTTAACATTTGTTTGAATGCTTATTATAATTATTGTTGTGTGTAAATCCTTTTGAAGTTATTATTTACTTTTACTTTTAAAGAGTTACCTTTTTCTAATAACTTAATTATTACGAAAGTGTAAAATATAACAATAGTCACAATAGTTTTTCCATTGAAGGGAAAACATTCCATCATTAATATATCATATGATATCTATAAGAAGGTGTGTTCATCATGTTCAATTTCCTTTCCGTCTCATGTCCTCCCTCTATCCACAACCTTCTACCTTCCTCTGCGTTTGTCACAGATCTCTTATCAGGTGTCTTATTAAGTTGTCTTGTCCCTTATGCTTAGTCATCCGTTATCAGCTATTTCTTACCACTTCCGGAAAACGGTGTTGGGAAATTTAGGTCGCACATTTTTGACAGACACGGTCATGTCAACTACAATCATATTTTATATAGGGTTATTACTTATTACCCTGCAACACTATTTCAGATAGAAGTGATTTGTTTTTTTTTTTAAATAAAAATTTTTGTAGGAATAATTATAAAACTTAGTGTATTGCATAGTTTTTATAGACGCTCGAGTATATTACAATTATTTTTTATTTTATCAATTCTTGTTTAGAAAAAAAATCAACAAATCAACAGTTTACTTTTAAATATAAGCTGTTTGATAAAATATTGAGGCGTCACATAATTTATTCGTAAATAATTAAAAAACTTGTTTTTGTTTGAATTAATAATCAGTTTTTATTCATGTTTTAGACAAGACTAGTTTTTTTGTTCTTTTAGTGCACAAATGCAATGATAATTATTCAAAATTAAAATTACTTCATGTAATTGGAAAATAACAATACATTTCTAAAACAAATTGTAAAATTCAAAAATATAAATCAAATACATTAATTAAAATAGTGTCTATTTGTTTTACACTTAAACGCTTGTTATATTTCCATAAGATACGTTTTACTAGTTTTTATGCGCTTTAAATATAATTGTTTTATTTTTTTTTTTGCAGACTTGGTTTTTTACCGATACTGACGATCGTCACCTGAGCCAAATTACAAGTGAGTAATTTTTTTTTTTTACCATACGCCATTAATATTATAACTATCGTTTAAATGAAAACACATACAATCGAGGTCAATTAATGTATTGGGTGTTCAATTAGTTGGGTAACAGGTTTTCTAACGCCAAACGGATTTAGTTTCCAAACTGTTTGATCACCCTGTATTACGAAAATAAAGCAATCATAAACACACCGGTCAGAAAAGCTTTGGTAATAATATATCTGTGTTCGATGGGAGGTTTAACTTGTGGAAATTATCCAACCTATTAGGTTTTTATAAAGGTGTAATTTGATAAATTGCCCGTGTTCATAGCAGGTGTTATTGGTTATTTTTTTTTTAGACCGATGGGAAGTGGCGAAGGGGTGGTCCAGCGGTTTGTGCAAGCAGTTCTAACTTCAATTACTTTTAAACACATTATTATTATATGTTCAGATCTAGTCGGTGTGTAAAATATCTAAAAGCCAACAGTAAATATTCTTATATGCATTTCCTTAGTCTCCCATGGGCGATTTTTATTCACGGATAGCTACGTTATGTATAATACATATATTATTATTGTACGCCTATTTTTTTTTTAATAATAGGTATTGCATGTAACCCAGATTGTCTTTTCCAAAAGATTTTTTTGTTTTGATTAGAATGGCGTTATGCATGTAGGTCATATCGTATATCTGATCTCGTTTTGACGAATACCCACACACACATGTATGCCAAGTCCAATTACCACCAGTTATCCGCAAGTACATATTATACAACATGAACCTTATAATTTATTTAAGTAGAGTAGCGTTCCATGATTATATTTTGTTCGATGCATTTTGAAATCCACTGGCATTCGGCAAAATCACTAGGAAATCCTAAAGAACGATCGGTAAATCAATAAGCAGTACTTTTGGTTGTCTTAAGACATTAAAATACTGAAGTTGGACTAATGCTCCAGTTCGTTGTTCTGTGTGCACATTTTTGTATATTAAGGATGATCTTCTCTTTTGATAATGGTAGGCAGTGGAATACATTTAATTAAACTCATTTCTAAAAATAAAAAAACAAAATGTCTCGAAATTTTCAGAGTCTTATAAAACTTTGGCGAAAATCGATAACTTACCTATTAATAAAGTTTGTCAAAATCTAGATGTTGTCTCGATATTCGATTTGAGTAAAATTTGTTTTGGGGGTTTTTTGCCAATTCTGAGTTACTTTGTATTTTATTAACCCATCCTTGAATATTTTCTGCTGTTTTATATTGTTGATTGGTATGGTATACACCAGTCGGTCCTAAAGTTAATTAAATCTAAGAATTTCCACGAAGCTTTTATTTATTATTTTTTTTCATCACGGTTTAAGTCATTATTTTAAAAAATTGCAAAGAATATTTTTTCTCGAACAATGCTTTCCTTTGTTCTCGATACAATATACAAAACAAACAATGACCCGTTTTGTTTAAGTAGACTATAGTAGTAATGCACACACGGTAAACAATTAAGCAATGTTTATTATTGTCCGTGAAAATGGTTTTCTTAACGCCCATTCTTTACTTTTACAAAAATATTTTTTTATTAAATTAGACTCGCAGAACAAGCGGTGTTTATATTTCAACTTTTAAACAATTTTCAAAAAGGACGGCTATTTTAGATAATATATTATGTGGGTTAGGTTAAGAACTAGTAAGTAGTATATGGGCGATGTGTTTTATTCTATCAAATAGCATTTCAAAAAACCAAAAATGTGTAAAATGCACATAAGTTTAAAACAAAGTCTTATAGAAAACTATGTGTTTACATTATGCCGTGTAAACGAGCAGAGTTGGGTAAAATTTAAATAAGATAATACAAATAATCGATAACTTGACGAATTATGATTTAATAATAATAATAATGAGGTACAATTTTTTATTTCAGATGGTCATGTAATAAATACTAATTGTTCAGCTACTCATAGCAGGTAAGTCTTGTGCTAAAATGTCATACTGTTTTATTATAATATAAGTGACAACTGACTTTTTATTTTTTATTGTATTAGGCGTGCCTTGTGTTGTAAAATGTCTGTAGAATTGGATATGTTCCTCGAAACAAAAAAAAAGTAAGCGAATTACAAAAATTATGTTATACTAAAACACTTGTCAGTATTTTGTTTTTATTTTTTTACATTCGATTATTATTTATTAAGATACGTTTTTTATTAATTTTTTTTTTTTTTTATTAGGTGGTTTTGTCACGTCGACGATGACAACTATGTTAACGTACCCGCATTGAATGAACTGTTGAAAACTTTTGATCCAATTGGCGATTGGTATTTAGGACGAACTAGTACACCAAAGCCTTTGCAAATTCGGACCAAATCCCAAGTGAGTGTAGTCAACAGTGCCATGAATTATTAAAATTAAATACCTAATTACATATATATTTTGTTTTAAATTCAGAAAACTACATTTTGGTTTGCCACTGGTGGTGCAGGATTTTGTCTAAGCCGCGCGTTGGTGCTAAAAATGGCTCCGATTTCTGGGTAAGTTAATTCATATTTCTACTATTTATTTAAAAGCCTTATTTTTATAATTGATAATTACAATTTTGGACAATTGCTTTATAAAAACTCGATCCAGTCAAGTTGTTTTAGGTATGCCTCAACCCAATAAATTTTGTACGTTTTTCCAAACTTTTTTTGTCAAACAAATTTGGCTTAATAAGGTTGGCGTAAACAAACATGAAGCCCGCTGGAGTTTTCTTGCTTTGCTTTATGAAATTAAATAATTTATTTCAACGATTTAAATAATGATTAAAAATTGGATTTTGATAACAATATGGTAGCTGAACAACAATTTTTTTTTTACTGCCGTGGTGTCAGTGAAATTGGCGTTGAAAATAATTTCTAGAGTTTTGAATAATTTTCACGACCTCGCCCGTATCATAATTACTAGTCTCGTTTGTTTGTTTTTATTATTTTTTAATGGTTATTATTCAAACGGGAATAGATAGTTTGTTTACAAAAGAAACTATTAATATTCTAAAGCGGTGTACTTAATTTTTTTTTTTAGAATCGTACATAGAATGTTATATTTTAATAGGCTATAAGGTGTAAGGTTGGATTATTTACATTTAGTTAGTCGAATGTTAGTTTTTTTTAAGAAACTATTCTTTTGAATATATTTGTATGTAAAGCGAACGGCGTATAAACGGACATAATATCGCCTCTCGTCCGAGCATCTTATTTACTACTAAAATAATTGATAAGTATCTTTTTCTTCGGGTTTATTATTATTATTTTTACTCGATTGTTTTTTTTTTCTTATAAAATATTTAAAACCGATATAGTGCGATAAGATCTGGCCGGACAGCAGCACGCCTCGTCGAACGCGGTGACCGTCATCGATATTAACGTGTGAACAGTGTTTTCCAGTTTCGGCTTACGTCGTAGGGTCACTGGAGTTAACATCGAGTTTTTTGTTAAAGAATAATAATATATTAAATAAACATACCTATATGGTATATATATTTGTATGCAACTGGTTCTCGGCGTGAGGTGAATAACATTTAAATACGATAGGTAACGATTTTCAATAATATATTTTATACATTTTTATTATATATATTATATTCCGTTGCTCTCGACGAACTACAAGGTCGATTTTTTTTATTTTTATTATGCACCCATAAAAAGCGGTCTTAATTGTGGTCTATTAAACAAATTCCAGGTCCACATCCATAATAACAATAATAATGATATGCGGACAAGCCAAAAACTATATTATCAGCTCGTGTGTGGATATGCGCGCAACCCGTTTTTTTTTTTTTTTTAATTGAATAATAAATTGTGAGTTTCGATACAGCCGCCAGTCGAAGCTACCTCCCCTTCTCCTATCTCCACTACTCGTCGTTAATCAAGTCCCCTGAATTGACGAGTCAACCGGTTTAACGCATCACACAAGGCGGCGGCCCGACTTGGGATAAACGAACGACCCGTCTCCGTAATGTAGTATTTTTCGCACTAATAAGCTTAAATTCCAATTGTAACAACAATATAGTGGTGGTGTTACGCTTTTTTTTTATTTTGACTATAAAAAATATATATTCCTACCCAAAAAGGAAATGCCGCGGCCGGCCATTGTTGTTGTCGTAGAGCACCGAAACGCGCCGTTTTCGATTGGCGTTTGTCGGCGGGGAATGCAAGTCCGATATTTTAATTGGAACTTTTTAATTGGCCGAGAATTCCTTATGGAGGCTACTAATACCGATTTGGAGCCGATCCAAACGAGCAGGTGTAATACGGACGACGACAAAAATGTGGTTACGTGAAATAGTTGTTATATATATATATTTATAAAAAAGGTATAAAACTGTTGACGTATGGAAGCACGTGTCCTTACTTTCGGGTAATCCGTCTTGTTTATTATTACAGAATTTCTTAAAGACGTTAATAAACGTTCTGTGCTTTGAATTAATAGTGTCATGTAAATCCGAAACGTATAAACGTCTAAAATATGTTCCAACCCTCTATAAAATCCGAACTAGTTATAGTTAGTTGGTAGGCGGGTCCAAGAAGTGTGCCTTTTAGGTCCATTGTGCGCACCCTCTCGCCGAAGTCCTAATTCCAATGTCTTTGATTTCGTTCATTCCAGAAAAAGGTTTGCCAGAGGTCTCATCTGCCTCAGGGTAGCTAGACTAGTAAGGGATAGTAAGCTCATTTGGTTCCTGTTCATATTTTTAAGATCCTCTAATATTATACCAAAGTGCTTGATGAGCTTCTTCGATTGTCTAGGCACCAACAGGTACCTCCATAAATGTTTTTCTCTGCTCCAGTTTTTTGGTACAACATTATAGAGTTTGTTCTTATCATAGTCCTACCACTTGTTTCGGGCCAATATAGGGTAATTCAGCTCCTTTCTTTTCTAGGAAATCAGTTTGTTTGTTCCCTAATACTCCACAGTTTCCTGGTACCTAAGCTAGTTTAACTTTGTTATTCCTTGCCATGGATTCCAAAGTTGTTCGGCACTCAAAGACCGACTTTTAAGTTAATTGAATTTTGCTAATAATGGTGTAGGAAGTATCCTTTGTATACTTCCGACGTCGTTAAATTGATTTTTTTTTTAAATCCATTTTTCCCAGTTTGTTAATAATCAATACGGTGTATAATAAAAATTGTAACAAGAACCAAATTAGGTTGCATTTAAATTTTTCATTGCATCCGAATCTGGCCTTAGATTTCTACAAAGTTGTAAGTAACGAAAATCAGATATTTTTAATCTCATTTTTGTTCAATAAAACCACAAATTATACATTAATTCTGAGACCACTTCTGAATTCTATTTGAAATAATTATTAAAAAACTATGTGCACAAAACACGCTGAACTGATCACGAAACTGTGTTTTTTTTACATTTTAGAGGCAATTAAAAAATAATTAGACGTGCTAGAATAATCTCTGAATTATTAAATAATTATCATTTTGGGTCGAAAATTATTTATTTTTACCATTATGCAACTAGGCTAAAAATTATAATTTAAATCATAAAGAAAAACGTACCTACAGCAACTTTTGATAAATGAGTTCTTATTTTTTATTACGACCTCGAGAATTTTGATGGCTAATACTTAATTAACATAACTTTATTAGTTAAAAAAAAATGTACAACTATCTTGTTTGTAATTAACTACGAATGTTAATTATGCATACATTGTACGAACATAAGTAATAGAAATCCAAAAATCCAGTTTATCTCAAAGAAAAATTAAATTTAAGCTTCTTAAAAATCTTATAAATCATTATTTGTACAATATAAAGATGTGTACCTAAGCAAAATATTTTTAAAAAAAACAACGGCAAAAAGATAAATCGCTTTTGGTTTTCAGATTTGTTGAAATCCAAAAACAATAATTAACCGTTTTTTATTTTTATCAGAACTTGGGTACACAGCTTTATGTCGTAGTAATATTTAATATATATATATATATATTAGTAATTTTGTTATTTCATTGGTTTTGAACGGTACAGTTCAACAATACTAGAGTATAAAAAAAAAATGAAAAACAAGGAAATCGTTGAAGATTTTTTATTTGTATAAAAAAAAATAAAGTTAAGAGTATCCACACTTCATGCATATACATCAATACATTGATATGTCCTGACATATTATGATTATTTCCAAACTATAATCTTCTTGCGGTATATGATGATAGTATAGTCTTAATTATATGTTCTGGCCAAACGTTTTTTAGTAGTTTTATAATATCTGGCCTTAATCGATTTACTGGCAACATTTATCAATATTTAACATTTCTCATAAATCAATTTCCGTGGTTCGCCAGTAAGTAAGTGCCTACCTAAGAAATCCATTTGACTATCCTTATATATCCTAATAAAATCCTTAAAATCCTGCAACTTGATGTATCTGCATGAAGTGTGGTTACTCTTAACTTTATTTTCAGAATGACCCTCCATAATCCATATCTAATCTTATCTCATCATTGGTCTTCAAATAGCAGTGAAACAGTGCAGGTTTCGGTATCTGAAATAAATGTGTACAAGTGCGCTGCGAGCGAAATAAAAAACGCATTTACACATGACGTGTGAATCATCATCGTCCTCCGGTCGGTGTTGATTTAATTCTCCCATAGAAAGCCATGTGCTACACATTAAGTATTTTAGTTTTGTTGTCAAGTATCCAGGAAGTATATATATATATACATAACGGTGCCATGTTCTGAATAATAATTCACAAGTTACACGATAAATATTAATAATTGAAATTCTGCGGCGCACTGTTTTTCGGACGCGAACCGAATGTTTAACGCTACAACATTGTGTGTTTATTTATTTTAATATTCATTACGTTTTTGCATATTTTTTATTATTATTATTATTTTTTTTCAGCAATGGCAAGTTGATGGCGATCGGAGATCGGATAGGACTTCCAGACGACGTGAGCGTCGGTTACGTCATAGGTACGTTACTATTGTAAAAAACAAAAAACAACACAATATAATATAATATAATGTAAATCATATTATTAACTAAGTGATGAAATGAAAATTATTATTAATTATGAATAACATATTATCTCAAATAATTTCACATTTAATTGAAATAAACACAAATAATTAGCTATTAATATAATTAAAAAAACTTGTTTTAAATTATTTTTCTGTTAATCTGAAACACTTTTTGTTATCTTAAAAATTTTAAAAGTGTATCAATTGTTCTTTTTTATAAATTTAAAATAAAATTTATAAATAATAAATTAAAAACAATTTTCGCAAATTGTGTGGCAAATTAATTTGAAACAAATAATTTTGTCATAAATAACTGAATATGTTTTATTTAGTAACTACAAAGAAAATTAACGCTTTTCAGCAGTTCTGTACACCAATTTTTTTTTTTTGTATTTTATAAGGCCTGCTTTAAAAATTTTAATTTTATATTTCAGTTTAAAAATACTTCATTTTGTTCTTTAATTTAATTGTTTAATTTGCTACACATTAATTTGATAATAATAAATATCCGAATTCCGGATTCTGTCTTGTATTAGACAAGTGGCCATGTTTTAATTATTAAATAATCCATAAAATTGGTCTCGTTAAATAATTAAAAAATACTTTTATACAAAAAATCGTTTAAAAGGAAATCAAATAAGTATTTCTTATAAAAAAATTGTAGTACTATCAGCGTAGGAAAATGTGTTAATGTCTGTTTGATGATGTTGTTCCATTAATAAATGAGTCTTTCAGTATTATTTTGTTTTAATTAGTGGTAAAACAGTCGTATAATGTATATTAGTAAGGACAAAAGAGTTAAATGGTTTTTTTTTTTTAGTAGTTCTTGTTGGACAGTGTTCGACTTCTATAATAAAACACGGGCTTAACTTATTAACTCAAGTCTTATTTCATAAAGCATTATAGGTACAGGGTTTTTTGAGTTTTTTTAATGTCTGTAACAGTAACTCTTGTGTTCTATCCAGTCTATCTCATTAGCTGTATAATATTGTTTACACCATACCGTTTTTGTCTTTGCAGAACATTTACTGAAGATACCTCTGACCAGAGTTGAACAATTTCACTCGCACCTCGAACCCATGAGACTCATCAAAAAAGAAATGTTCGGCGAACAGGTAAATTTTAGTTTTTGGAAAGGTAAAAAATGCAAATCCGAGATTTTTTCATTTAAATATTTATTTTAGTGAACCTTTTTGGGGAATCAAAAATAATCGGTTGGAAACGTGTAACCAAAATTTAGCTTTAAGTAACTATTGACAATTTTTTTTTTTTTTAATTTTAGCTGACATTTAGTTATTCACTGGATAACGAGCCGAATACGGTGGACATCGAAGGATTCAGTGAAATATACGATCCAACGAGGTGAGAATTTTACATAATTTTTCAATACTTTTCCTTTTTTATTTTTTTAAAAACATTTACAATCTGTACATAAAATATTATACAATAAGCAAATATGTTAACAAAGTAAATATGTGACTTGGAGACTTTGGGTAGGGAACCTATCCAGTGATAGGACCCTATGACATGTTACGGCTAGAAATTAAACGGTAGCATTACAATTTAAGAGGTCTCGACACCAACGTCTTTTAAGACGACGAGGGGGGTTGTCCGGGATAGTAGCTGTGTGCTGGCTTGCTATTAAAGGAAATTTTTCAATACTTAACTATATATTTATACCTACCAAGGAAATCGAAGACACATAGTTAAAATTTGTTGGAAAATTTAGCGCAGAGTGCTAAATATTTGTAGTTTGATCGCCTAATCAAACCCGTTGGGAGTAATAACCTATCCAGGTTAGATGTAGACTTTCAGATGTATATTTGCCGGGCTTAAGAACAAAACGAAAACCCCATCTGGTGATTTTACTGAACTGTGTTGTACATTAATTGTGTGTGTTTTTTTTTTTCAGATTTATTTCGTTGCATTGTTTTTTGTTTCCCGAATTTTCCGGTTGCGACGACCAGTGAGCAACGACAGCGCTCACCGCAAAGGTATATAATAATATTATAATCTAAGGGCTGGTTGGACATTGAAATTATCATACTTGTCGGCCAAAAGTGTTTTCAGTCTATCTGTATGGGATTTTCGACTTGCACACATACACGGTAATCCAGAGTGCGATGAGAAAATCATTAATCATCAGATCATTTTTCTTGAATTAAAGTGCGCCATCATCGTCATAGAGGTACAAGGTTGGGAATCCGTCACAGCGGCCAGGGGTTAGGTTGACCGGGTACAATATAATATATTATACTTTTTTTTTTGTATGCGTTTCCTGTGTTTTGATTCCTGATTTTTCCATAATGCACCGACCGGCCGGCAGTCGCCTCGTTACCGGTGCTTGTTATGATTAAAAAATATAATAAAAATACAATAATATATCTCCTCTCTCTAAGTAGGTACACGACGGGCGTACTCGGGTTTCGTTTAAAAAAAAAATTGACATTTAAAATAATAATACAATTCTACTCGAGTAACAACGAGCACACGGTTAATGGCCAAACACGATTGAACGAATAAAAAAATAAATGTATGTATATTGTATACATATATATATTAATATGTAGCTCGTCAATCTTGACTAACGAGAGATTTATCATCGTTATAAAATATACTGCAAAATACTATAATAACATTTTTTTTTTTTTTGTAATCTGGTGTCAAATTTACACATATCTCTACACACACTCTTTTTATCATATATATATATTTTCATCTGAAATAATTAATTATTCAACATTCGATACGAGCCGCGTTCGGTATCAGGCTTCTATAATTGTGTTATTTTCCTATAAGTAGATTATAATATTATACTGATGGACGTGTATTATTATGTGATGTAACACACAACGGGTTCGGCTATCAAATAATCGAACACCGCTAAGGTTTCGCTTATCGTCGTTGATCGCCCCTTTCAATAATATAAAGTTGTTTAAATTTTTTTTTTATACATATATTGTAAAATGAATATGTATAAGGCATTGCACATGTACTGAACTATATACTTACGGCAGCTATGTATTTTTTGTTTTAAACACCTTAAATTACTTTTGTATTATTTGTTGTTACAATGATAATAATGTAATATTATATTATACATAACTAATCTGTGATATAGAAAAATAAGTTGTAGTTGTTAATTTCGTAGATCTTATGGTTAGACGTTGGTTGTTTGTTAAGACTAGTAAAAAAAAAAAAACAAAATGAACAGTTATTTATTTTTAATTTACACGTATAAATATATATATATATATATTTTTTTTTGTAAGCGAATTAATTTTAGTTACGTTTTTTTATTGTTAAATTAATTAATTTTTTTTTTTGTTTGTCTTATTGACAATAACATAATATGATATGTGTTTTTAATATAAAAACTTATTATAACTTTTTAAATACTTTTTTGTTTTCCTCAGTCCTATATAGGGTTGAAGTTCATTCAAAAGGATGAATAATTCATTTTGGTAAATTTAATTATACTTTGCTTAATGAAGTGAGACCCTAATACAACATATCAAAACCGATAAAAGTTATTTCACCCTCTTTGAAAATACATTTTTCAAGTTAAATTGTTTGCTTCTTCTTCGGGTACCGTGTAAAAATAACATTCTCGGTAGATTTACTAGCGGACCCCACTGGTTTCTAGTACAAGTACACCATACCTACGACTAAGTCATTTTTTATCCGTTACTCGATTTACCACAACGGTTTTTTTCAGCTAGAACTCGCCCTGTGTTTCATTTCCCCAGCGTATGTAATGGTTTGCTAAGAAAATAAAAATTGAAAATGGCACTCAATTTACTGAACCGCACGCTTTAATCGTACGCTTCATTAATCACACCGTTTTAACGTGTGAAGTCTTTTCAACGCGTTATACAAGATACCGACTTTTACTTAGTAAGCACAATCGTGTGTCGAAAGGGTTTCCAAAAGTGCTCCGCGTATTTAAATAACAAAACACGGTATTTAAGTGCTTTATGTCGTGTGGGTAAAATTCTGGGTAAAATGATTTTTTTAAACAATTACATTACATGTTTGTCGGATTAAATAAGAAGCAAAGTGGCACCCTTTAACTTTTTTTAAAAAATTCGTCGAATTAGTTGTAGGTGCAAACATTATTACATCTCTAATCAAACTTTATTCCTATCGAGATAATCTAGAAACAATAACTCCAATACAATATTTTATTAGATTATAATTTTTGTCAACTTAGCTGAAATAGCTCAACCAAGGAATTAATTGTAATTTTCTAGGCGTTTTACTTGCAATATATTTTTGTGGTATTAACAAATTAGAATTTTTTAATACACACACAATCAATGTGTGCCCGGACGACATGTAAAATAAATACATATAAACCTCCGTCGTCCGGTAAGGCTTATGTATTGTGTGTGTGGGAACAAAACAAAAAAATGTTTACCAAAAATAGTGTAGTGATCACGCACAACACTATATACACTGCACACGATACGGATCCAAATCCGATATAGGCGTTTTCCGTTTTGGACCACTTACATATGTATATTATTATATTAATAAGTTATAATTTTCTCTTTAACCATTGCGCAGCTCTAATAGTCGTCCGGTATTCGTGTTTCGGGTAAATTATACAGTCACCTTATATACTATAGTATTATTATTAATTGGTACTTGTACTCTGGTTGGCTTCGTGTACATAACAATTTTACTGGATCCAGTTAGATGGCTGGTATAGGTATGTACCACCTAAACGTTATGGCGTTTTCTCAGATTAGGTGGGCCGTTTTTTTTTTTTTGAGAAAACCTCATTTTTTAAATTATTTATGAAACCCTCCCAAGTGTGTGGGCAGATACCTACTAATATACACGCTATAAACACAATTAGAAGATCCAGAGAACCGTTAAGATATTAGGCACATAAGTTTGTTAAAACGGCCAAGCAAGACGAATCAGCTGACCAAAGCTAAAACGCACACTTACATTTGAACACTTTCAACCTACTTTACTTTGATTGGTATTTCTTGTTTTTTTTTTTGTCGAAAAACATAACTAAATACTACAATAATAATAGATATAGTGGTTTATACAATATAATTGACGTGCAATGTATAAAGAAGCGCAAAAATTAATGCCCTGATTTTCCAACGACTAAGATTCATTTCTCATTTACTATATTTTATACATATGTACATATTAAATGCCATTTGACTAACAAGTTGTGTCTTGTTTTCACTTTTCAATAGCAAAGGAAATTAAGTAAGTATTTTATTTGGTATTTTATGTACATTGTAATTTCGAATCTGGCCTTGGATGACTACGGGATTCGCTTCAGCGGTTATACATTATAAATTCTAGTATTTTTATTAACTTCAAAGTCTTCTTTGTTTTTTAATGCTAGTTAACTGTTCGTGTGTTTCCCGCTTATTCTAAAACGTGTACGGGTATTAAACTTAGAATGATTGATGAACGCTAATCGATTGATTGACATATAATACATAATGGATGAGTGTACCTTTGGACTAACTGTGGTATTAATGAGAATAGATGATGACAAAACGCTATCTAAACTCTTTTTTTTTAAATCGGAATGTTAACGGGTTTAAGCAACAGCTAACATGTTTTAACTAAAAGTAAGTCGAGAAACCTTAAATGTGTAATTTGCCGGAGCTGGGCAAAACGTATCAATTGACATAATAGTTTCAATAAATCTAAATTACATTCGATTGATCAATTATTGTCCTGATTATTAATTGTAATTCTCGCTATAAATGTAATTTTTAAATACTTAAAAAAATTGTATGAAGGTCTTGTATCAATTTATTTGGTACTAGATAGAAAATCACAAGGGTTAATTTTTTTTTTCAATGTAATAAAAATGGCCAACACTGTATATGCATTTTGAATGGTGTTAACTTGTATTGCAGTAGTTGACCCGATTCGAGAAGAACTTCTTACTTTTGGTTTTTATTATTTGCCGTGTTTGAAATACATTTGGAAAAGTTTTTCATGTTTTTGAATATTGAATGTGCCGAACAAATTGTCTTGCGAGCCGCTTGCACATAACTTATGTCTTGAACATAAGTTTAACATATTATATGCATGTATATAAGTTGAGTGCTGATAAAAAGAGAAAATAAAGAAACCTAGTTATAAAAGTTGAAGTGAATATAAAACCGATTTGTGCATACATTTGACGGTATCGGATCAAAAAAAACAAGAAGGGTAAAGTTTTTAAATGATGCATTTGTTGAGAAAATATAAATAAATTATTTTTAAACAATAAGTTTAGTTCGTTTTAATAATTAATCAACGCTAACCTTACCAATAATTTTCAGTCATGTAATTTGTTTGGGATACTTAAACAAATAATGATCAGGCCCAGGCTGTCATTTTTCCCAATTCTGATACGGTGATTTTAAAATTAAAATACAGCTTGCAATAAAGCTTTACTGAATAAAAAAATAATGATTTATTATTTATTTCTCTCACTACGGATAATCCTTTTGACCTTCACAATTACAGGTAATATAAATAAATTAACTGTATAAAAAATAATGAATACATAGTTAATTTTGCATAGCACAACACTTTACAATGCAGACAATAGGAGTCAAATTTTACATATAACTAGATACATAATTTATTTTTACCAACGAATAAAAAATTGTTATTGTTATTATTTACCTTACTAAGTTAAGTTAGGTCATGCTGCATATTATTCAAAATTATTATCATTTTAATTCTTGCTACTCAATTAAACTAGACGACTGATTTTTTATCAACGGATGAAAATAATTATCATTATTGTTTACATTATTATTTAAGTTAGGCCATGACGCTTTTTTCAAAAATATTCATTTTCATTGTTGCTACTCAAAAAAAGTAGTATTGTAACTTTCAACAGTGTATTGAATAATACATTTTGTTTCCCAGTCGTCATGACCTACAAGACAGTAATGATATTTTGTCTAATAACTATGTTTTTAGCACTTGCCAAATCAAAGGTAAGTCCAACTAAATATTTTACTGCTGTAGTATAGGTAACTGATATTACAATAAAGGTAATAATAATACATTTTGTACAGAATCGCCTAGCGTTACTTCAGCCTATACGACATGAACATCGTATTAGTTGCTTAGAAGTCACTGATTACCCTTCTATAGGACAGGCCAATGCCAGCTTTAAACAATATAACGGCATTCAGTATACAGATTACCAATATAAAATATATGATCCGTTGTACATAGGTCGAGTAAGTTGAATTACATTTTCAGTCTTAAAACCCTAATGAATATGATAAATGAACTCGTGAGAACCAAAAGGTGAAGTGGTTTTTTTTTTAATTAACAAACTAGCATAAATGAAAATAGTTGTCTTCTGTGTATGTTTGGGAGTGATGTTCATTAGTTTTTTCAACAATAATATCAATGAATATTGGGTTTTATTGACAATTAATATTTTTAAACGGAAAACTTATCGTTCTCATCGCTTTATAATGTTTAACTTGATCATTTTCGGATATATCCGTGTTACCATTAGTTATCTGATGTTTCACCCATTGCAAGGTGTACATCTTCAGAGATAATGTTATTGACTATACTCAGTGTATCATTGAAGATGGGCTTAGCAGTGGGATTTAAACGTTAGCTTACTAATGACAATAATTTAGAAAGATCCGAAAATGATGAAGCTCATTTGTTGTGTTTATCGTTTTAGATCAATACCGAAATAATAATGTGCAAAGAATATTTTATTGATTGTTCAAATCTCAGATCGTTTGATGTCACGAATGTCTGTATGAACGGGGCGGCGATCTATTACTTTTTGTCCATAGGATATGCAAACCGTGTAATTACGTCATGCCCACTCCAAGTTAGTTCAATTCTTTACTATATTATATAATATACATATAGTATTTATTTCACATTTTATTTGTCTTCCTAAAACCGTTATTTTTTTATCGATTATATGTATTTTTATTGTTTCAAAAAATATATATATATGTATAGAGAGAAAGATTTGCTTAGGCTATAATACAATTTGATTTGGAATTTTTGTAGCTTACATAATTATATTACTAAAAAAATGTGTGTAAAACAACATTTTAATCAATCGGTTTTGTAATATTTTCACAGGGAGAATACATTTTCAAGAATGTAACCTTAGACCCGGAAAAAGTAGTTCCTATGTTTTTTGGACCGACAGAAAAATGGTGGGAATACACTTTTAAGTTAAACGTCGGTGTTTACAATACTCTTAACATGAAGGT